GGAGCGGCGGTGTGGGGGGTCTCCCAAGGCTTTCTTCCAAAAATCGGTGCCAAAACGCAAGGTGCGTACTGCTGCGTTCGCCATGGGAGCGGGTATGCGGATATTTAGGATTTGCCAAACGAAGTTTCCAAACAGCCCCATGTGCCCATGAAACGTTAAGGGGTGGGTTAGTCAGGCGTTGGCATCAACTGTCACTCTCCGCCGCGCGGAGAGACAAGCCCGTCACGGGCCTGTCTGTCTACCCAGCGGCGCTGGTACGTGGGTATGAGAAGGGAATCCTTATGAGTGGGCTGAGGTTCGTGAAGATGCTGCCTTTTAATACTAACGTGCATGTAAGAGAAAGGTGAGGAGTTACGCAGGATGTGGACTGACCGAGCCCTCTCTGACTCATAGGCTCGCTGTCATATGAGCAAGTTGGGCAATGTATGTTTATATATTTATAACTCAGGTGCAAGAAACATCAGGTAAATATGCTGGTTTGACCTCTAAACACAAAGTCATTTATAGACGCTCTTGTTTCTGTGCTAAAGAGCATGTGATAACTCACGGTGAGCTCCTGGGTTAGGTCACTCGTTACTCAAGTGCAGACGGGGAAAAACACAGCCATGGGTTAGCACTGGTTCCACCTGATAGCTATGTTGGTTAGCTGCGTTACAGGAATATTGCAGAACAGGTGCTGCTTGTCTAAATAGACCTTAAATTCTTTAGAAGTACAACAAACCTTCTCAGGTTTCTTTTGTCTGATGAAGCATATCGCAGTATGAGTGCACAGTTGTGTAACACTTGAGGAAAAGCGTTTTTACGTGCAGAATACTGGAATGGGGCAGCATCAGTTGTGGAAAACCTATGCTTGCCCCAAAGGTGACTTGCTGGCTGTATGTTAAGCATGTAGGCAAGAAGTTTAAATCAACCTGAGACTAGTTACTGCAGAAATAGATAATAGTAGCTGCATACAGGGAGCAGGTGCAGTCCAGTCCGGCAGAACTGTGTGTTAACAGTTTCCTCTGAGAGTGGGATCAGAGGGCTTTCTGAGCGTGGTTTGGTGCTGGCAAACCAACAACTTCAGCCCTCCACAGAAAAAATAGGATACTGACACTGATTACTAGTCTTAGAAGCAGATAATTTAGAGTACATTGGAATTAAGGGGTGCTTTGTATAGATCGAAAATTCTTGCGTCTGCAGCTATGTGGCAAGTCAACATAGTCATTTTTTGCCGCTCAAAAAAGCAGCATAATTTCCTGACTTTGTTGGCCATTTCTTGGGGCTTCCAGTTGAACAATGAACTCTCAGACATTTCATAAGGGAAAAGCTCTGAGAATGCACACCTTCAGGATGTATGTCGTTAGCCTCTACCTAACGAAGTCACCTAAATAACTCATCAGAATGATAACGACCATGCAGCTTCCCCGGCGCTGCGCGCGGGGCCAGGAAGCCGTCGCTTCCGTCAGCGTTGTGTGTTATCGGCTGGCCCTGCCAGCGCTGGGTACGCCTCGGCGCGATGAGTGGTATTTAAAAAGGGGGTGTGGGGGGTAACTCCTCAGCAGTTCTCCCCGCTGCCTCACGCTGCAGGCAGCAGAGATGCTTCTCGCCCTTTCCAGCCGATCCCAAATACCTGTTTGGGTTTTTTTCCCCCGATGCAGTTGTACTTCAGTAGCGAACCACCTTACACCCTGCTGATTTCTTACCTGTTCAGAGCTAAACTCACCCAACTCCTTGAGGCAGGATAAAGATCTGCTGCAGCGTAGGGCTGGATTTTTATTTTAAACCAAAAGTGACCCTTTAGCAGGGATGTCAGGTGCTGAGCAAGTGGACCAACAAAAGCACCGAGCAGTTTGCAGTGCAACAGTATACTTGTGTCGGGGCTTAGTGGCTGTAAATCATTCTGGGCAATGGCAGTAAAATGACAAAAATGCAGAAGTTGGAGTGTTTGAGCACGGTACGTAAATTAAAGTGACTGTTTTTCAGCTGGTGTGGATTTCCATGTTTATCTTAGCAGTACGGTTGCCATCTCCTCTTGTTTTGCCCCTGGGGCTCTACAGAAACCCCTTGAGAGGGTTGTTTTTTTTTTTATGACATGCACAGTACGGCTGAAGCTGCCAGTTCTCCTTGTCAGATGAGCAATACTTTATAAAAGGGAAGTTACAAAAGCTTTGTAATGGGTGCAATTAGGCTTCGTATTTTTATTCTTCTGTTTTTGCCAGTGATCTGTCACTTCTGATTGAGGCCTGTATTGCTCACTGAGTCACTAGTGAATTTTAGATGATGTTAAGATTACTTCCTTCAATCTTAGTGGGTTTTTTTTTGTTTTCAAGTTGAATCTGTTGAATAGTTACTTACACTGGCAACCTTGAGACTTTTGTTTTAGCTTTTGTGGTCTGAATTTCAGAAATCAGTATGAATTTATTGGTCATTTCATGATGTCCAGCTGTGTCTCTTGCAGGCTGTGGTGTCTGTCTCTGCTTGGAGGTGACTTGGGTCAGGGCTCTGACAAGTGCTTGGGCTGGACAAAGACCAGCATCATCCAGGCAAAGCCCGTTTTGGTTTGGTCAGCACAGAGAGAGAAACATGAAGTCAAAGTTGCTCTTTGCAGGGTGTGCAAGAAATCAAGATATTTATGGCACAGAGCTATTAATGTGAAAACATAGAGTGTTGTTTGACAGATGAGGTCAGTAAAGCCCCTGCTTTTGAGGAGGAGGTCCATTGCAAGTCTGACACTGTTATGGATTGCTCTGTAGATGACAGCGGCAGTTGTGTTAGGAATGTCCCTGCCTTGTAGCTTGCTGTTGGCGTAGCTACTCCTGTCAGTGGGTGAGCTATGCTTCTGCACAGGAAAATCTGTAAGAGTTCTCGTCTCTCTCCCACACTTGCTGCAGAATTTGCTGGATGCTAGGGTCGCTACCAGACTTAGTTCTACCTTGATAAAATCATACACAGTAAGTGTTTGGTGTGGATTCTTCCCTGCCCTGATTGATTTACTTCCTCTGAGCTCACAAGCAGTGCCTGGTTTGTCACCAGTGACACCTACAGAGCATCAAAAACGTTCATTTGGGCTAAGTAACTAGATCGGTTAAAGAAATGAGATTATGATGAGCGTGGCTTGATCACTGCATGACCAGCCTGATTTTTACGTAGCAGAGTTCTGCTGTGTTGGAAAACACCCTCAGAGGCTTGTGCGTAGACTCTGATGAGTAGGGTGTGGAAACACTGAGATGGGGTATTGGATGTTGTTACTGCCAGTACCACCAGAGACCATTGCCTGTTGTATCGATCACACTGTTGCACAGAGAATTTGTTCTCCTTGTGTATGGCTTGGTCACCCTTAGTCCTGTTTTGCTGTGGGTTCGAAAACCCTTTAGGGAGGGATGGCCTGTTTCTTACAAACCGCCTTCGTCCAGCACAAATGAGCTGGTGTTACTGTCAGGAACCATGAGGAAAATAACTGAGCAATTATCTGGATAGCACCCAGACACTGCTGAGAGCATATTTAAAAGTGTGACAGCCAGTTTACTTCTGGTACTTGATGCAGAATACCAGACCTTAAGGTAGGAACTGCAGCAGCCTTCTGACATACAAGCAGAGGTTCTGAAGGAGCCAAGAGCCAGGCTTTCTATGGCGTGTGTGATGGGAGGATGAGACAGTGGGTTTTAAATTGGAAGAGAGCAGTTCTGACATGCTGCAGAGGAGGGAAAAAAGAAAAATTCACTGGCAGGATGGTCTGGCATTGACGCAGGAGCCTGGAAAGGCTGTGGAGCCGCCAGATTTGGAGGTTTTCAGAAGCCAACTGGACAAAGCCCTGAGCAACATGGACCAGATCTGTTGCTGACCCTGCTTTGAGCAGGAAGGTGGACTGAACACCTCCCAAGGTCCCTTCCAGCCTGAATGATTCTGTATTTCTTTGTTTTGATGTGGTAAAAATGAGTTGCTTTAAAATACTAGTGTTCTGGGTGGAAGAACATTGTGTGGACTTCTTAGAAAGGTTCCAGTAGGGTGTGTGCTTATGGCAGAACTTGGTATGCTAAAAAAGAAGTGATTTGAAAGGATCTAGAATGTATTGTTTGTATTGAAAGATACTTAATGCTGAAGAGCTGTGTGGGCATGGGAAGAAAAGGTTTACAAATAAAGATTTGCTTGTTCCAGGTGTAAGCTACTGTTCGTCAGAGACACTAAGTGAAAATACATTTTTCCTCTTGCATCTCTTAAAGGTTTGCAAGTTGGCTTTGCATGAGCAGGTGGAGGACTGCAAAGCTGATAGAATAAATTAGAGATACATTTCGGTCTGAAGTGCCAATCCACGGGGTATCGTACATGTAATCTGTCGTTTGCTAGGATGTCGCAGAAAGCGAAATCGATTTGGCTTGCTGCAGTCGCTATCTAGGGAACTGACGAGCTGTGTTCTCAGGGAGGCCTTGGAATAACTTGCTAAACTTTATTTCCTCCGATTTTCTAAGTTGCTTCGCTTCATTGTATATTGATCTCACTTCTGGAAAATAGGTAATTCTGCAACTTAGCCAGCAAGTGTGAACATGCTTTGGCCCCAGTCATACGGGGAAAACACAAGGGGAAGTACATATGAGTGTGTTAAGCACAATATCTGAATCTTCCATCTAGACATTGAGTTTTTCTAACATGAGAGCTCAGCTGGTTATTGAAATCTGTAGGCAAGATAGCTACAATAATTTTAACATTGAAATGATCTTGTTTCTGTGTTTTTCTGGCAGGAGGGAAGTTAAGACACTCAGTTCTGTCTTGCTTGGTATATTTTGCTTATGGAGACTTTTAAGGTCCTTTGTTTTCCATCTGGGAAAAACACAACTAATTAATTGTTTGCACTGATGTTGTTCTTCACCCAGATCAGGTGCAACTTTCAAATATATGTACAGTTAGGTTTGTTTACTTTCATTTGTGTGCTGTTTCTTAACACTACTCACAGTTTGCGTGTCAGGGCGAGGGGATGGATCTCTAAACCATAAGGAGTCAAAGGTGTTGCTTAAAGCTCTATCTCCTGTTCCCTCTCTCCCCAAAAAGTCATTGATGGACTGAGTCCTTGGAGCAAGATTCCCCTTCTCTGGGATATGTGCACGTTGTGCTCGAATGGCTACTGGCGAAAGGCGGTGGCTGTTACCCAGTATGGTAGGAATCTCCTGGCAGCCTCTTGTGATGAATAGCTCGGAGCAGTTCTTGTCCCTGACGCTGTCCTGTATTTACAGTGGTACCCAGTGTGAGACAGACTTACAGTAGTGCTTCTTGAAGTTTATTTTCAGATAAAGAGAAATGGATCATGTCAAGTCAAGTTCATACGTGTTCCAGTACTGGGATTTCTTACCTTTAGCATTCATCTTAGCAGCACACTTCAAGAGCGGGCGTCATAAATGATTTCAAACGCTGCAGGTAAATCCTAACGCTGCCTGGCAGAGATTCCACCTAGTATTTGCCCAGCAGCAGGGCTGGGTGGGTTTTTTGGGACAAACTGCGTAAGATTGGTAAGTCCCTTCAAAACCCTTGTGGTAATGTATACCTTCACCCTGGAGCTTGCCATCACTTGGCTCTGTAATAAGGGCACCCTGCAGTGATGAGAGGGGACAGGTTTTAGGTGCAAGCATGGAGGTCTGCTGCATGTATGGGACCACAGGTGCATTTTGCAGTTTCTGTCTACAGCAGAGCCAGTTCACTGCTTCAATTTCCAGGTAACTGAAGAGAGAGCAGCACTGTGCAGAACCAACTCTCTTGTCTCTCTGGCATAGGCATTTTTACCCTCCGAGGAGGTTTTCCTGTTGTTGCAAATCATTTTTTCAGGCTGAAGTTGCCTGTGTTGCAAGAAGTAAAACCTCGGTTCATTTAAACAGGTTGTATTTGCGCAACAGGGAGCTGCCATAGGCATCACACGGAATCTGCTTGCCTCCCAGTTCGAGTCGAGGCACTGGAGGAGCATGTAGGTAACTGAACAGCAGCAGCATTTAGGAATTGGGGCTGTTTATAGTGGGATTTTGTAGAAGGTGAGTGATGTGAACTTAAATTTTGGCCTAGTAACTGTATATTTTGGCTTTGTTGCTGGTGAGGGTGTAAGATCTGCAGCCCTGCAACACTCCCAGTCCTCCCATCCACCACCTTGTGCTTGGTTTTCATTAGCCCTTTTCTGTTAGCTGAAAGTTTCAGCCAACCTACTCCTTTTGTTTGGCTTTGTTCCATGTTTTGTTTTGTGTTTTTGAAAGGTTGTGCCCCTTTTCCACCAGTTTGAGTGGCAAATATACTTCCAGAAGGGAAAATAAATTACACCTTTATTTTTTTTGCTTTTCCTTCTGTGTAGAAGTGCTAGTGAAAGCGCTGGCATTTTGGTTTTTCCGTAGGCTTGGCCTTGATATTACTGCAGCTTTTCCTGTTAAATTGGATGCTGTACTTACGGTAACAGGTTTCAGAAGCAGAGGAGTTGGGTGTAACGCCAGAGTGACAAGCTGAGTGATGCCTTTTGCTCCCTGCTGTGCTATTCTGAATTATGCTGGGTGAGCTGCTCGCAGTCATGCTGTACCAAGCCTGAGCTAATTTTGTATTTTTCTCTATAATCCCAAGCAAAACCGGTTGGTCTTAAAAGCAGAATATTAAACATTTTACTGTATACTATAAGGAAGACCTGCAGATTTCCTAAGAGGCCCATTCTTGGCAGATCTCCACTCCAGAGAGGTTTGCACTTGAACTCAGACGTCTGGAGACTTTGAGTTAGTGTGTTTTCTCATGTTCCATACTCCCTAGCCTCCATCATTTCAGCCTTACTTGGGCATGATCACGCTGAACAGCAGCGTTTGCCTAGCTGCGGTGCCCGTGTACGCGTGCGCAACGTCAGCGGTTAGGAAAAGTGGCACATAACCTGTTTGCTGTTGGTCAAATTAATTCATCAATAGCAAATAACCTGCACCAAAGAGCAAAACCCGCCTTTCTTAAATGAATCTCGCTGTTTCCTCTCTCGCCACGCGAACAGTAATTAAAGAAACGCAGAGCACGTTTGAACACCACTGGTAACTGAGGGTAGTGCCTACACGAGGGTGTATTACCTGCCTGTGAAGCACAACAAGTTACGGAAGGCAGGGCCATTGCTTGCAATAGGGAATTAACTCCTACAGGTGTGTTTACAGTCTCGCCGAGTCAAGTCTCCCCATTTCATGCCCTGCTTAACGAGTGTGTTTCACACGGAATTGTCCAGCTTTGTTTCATTGCTGTGTTCCTCTTTGCAGGCTGAAGCAAGGCTTGCGGCAAAGCGAGCAGCGCGTGCAGAGGCACGGGAAATACGGATGAAAGAACTGGAGCGGCAGCAGAAGGAGGTACGGTCAAGGCTTGGGGGGTGTTTTCATCATCTTCTTTTCTGAACATACGTATGTATGTATAGATCTGAGGTCCTGGAACAAAGGGCTAATGTAGGTTTGGCTGAAACGTTAATCGTCTGTGTGGAGCTTATGCTGCTCAGTTAGTTGATCATAGGATATAGCCTGGAAAAAAATGGAGAATGTGGCAACAATTTTATCGTGGTGAAGCCAGTCTAATTATTCACAGAAAACCCTGGTGGTTAGTTAGTAATCATTATTTAATATTAAACTTTGAAGTATGTGGCTTGCTTGTGTGTGCATTAGGGGGGTGGATTCTTATCACTTCGTTAGAAATCTGTTGAATATGAAAGACTCTTGGCCCGTGTAAACTGTAGCTGCAAATTGTTTTGCTTCATTGCTGTGAAGCTGGCATTGTGGTCTCCCCCGTTTTGTAAAAATGATGGTCTGCTGTTGGCAGAAGTAGTGACAGAAACTGAACTTGGTGGCATATTCCCTTCCCCAAAGCGTTTGGATGAAATGCCTGTTGGAGTCTCTCCCAAATTCTGGATGAGCTGTTTGCCTTAGACCATCAGCGAAGTTACTGTGCCTCTGCATGCCAGCATGTGGGAGTTCACGGGCTTCCAGCGTAGGAATGATTGTAAAGACCAAAAAGGCTTGTTCCGCTCCTGTTGTGTTTGACAAATAGGAGCTGTACTGAATGTCATTCCGCTCCAAGAAACTGAGAGCAGTGCTTGTTTTGAAGCTCCAGAAGCTGAAGGAGTGCTATTAGAATGGAGCTGTAAGCACAGGTTGGCACAGGTGGGCCAGGTGAGTGATGGGAACTGGAAGGGCTTAAAACTTGTATTTATTGATGTCCATTTAATGAAAGAGCAGAGTAGACATAACAAGGCCAGCAGCAAGTGTAATTTAATTTTCTTTTCAAATAAATTTTGAAGGGGAAGAAATAAGGAGTTTTGGGCAGTGTGTGGGAATACATAGTAAGAATGAATGTACATGCGTGCAGAGAAGGATTCAGGTTAGCTTTTAACCGGTGAATCAGGACCTGATAGCAGACTGGTGTTGATGCAGGCTGCTGAAATCAGCCTGGAACAGAAGCACTTGGGCACTTTGCCCACGCTCAGCTTTGTTCTGGGGCGTCTCGTCTAGCTGAGGCACGTTTGGATGTGTCTTCGCACCCTGTAGCCACAGTGGGGTTAGATGTACCTGCAAACACACCAGGAGTAGGAGCTGCAAGAGAGCATGGCTGCAAGCACCGAAGAGGAACCTTTTACTGCTACAGTTCCTGCTTTCTGAAGGATGTTTCTTGCTACCTGGACCACAGTTGGAAGACCTGGAGTGCAGATTAGGCATTTTTACCATCAAGCTTCCTGCTGTGCCTCTAGCCTGAGTGATGGGACTTGCCAAGCAGCCTTTGGAAGATCCGTGGTAAACAGACACTAAGTGTTTTCTTTGAGCAGCAAAGTAAGCAGGGGTGTCACGGGAGCTGACAGTGGTGTTACCATCTAATTTGCAGGTAACTTTAGTGCAGCTGATGACACTCCTTGCAGCATCACCTTTCAATCTTCTGGGGGGGTCCTAGTAAATTGGAATTTTGGGATGGAAACTAAAGTGTGCTCCTGCAGTTAGTAACTGAAGAGCTAGGGATTTGAAATCCTGTGGTAATTCTTTGTATAGATAAAAACTGAGTGCCACAGGATGTTGCTCTGAAATACCAAATTCAGTGAATGCTAAGCCAGATATCCATTGCAATCTGTTTTGTAATTCACTGGCATAAATGGCATCATGTGACTACGAGTCTTAATATTTTGCAAGCTTGGATATAGTAAGGATGGCTACAGGAAAATGCTCATTGCCACAAGTATCTGGCAGTTATAATAAAAGAAAACATAAATACACAGAATCCCAAGCAGCGTTCGGCACAAGAGATTTGGCACCTACCCCTTCCTTGGAGGGGAACATACTGGTGTCGGTACAGCTTGTTGTCTGCAGTCTTCATTATCCTTCAAACTTTTCAGAGGAATAAGTAGCACATTCCCATGGCACTAGTGCCATGTTGAATAACCATAACTTAGAGCTTCAGAAGGCTTTCTAGAGCCAGTTACAGGAGTTAAAAAGCAATCAATGAATTTACTGCATGTGTGTGTGCTTGTTGATGCTTAAAGCAATGTACATGCCCTGACAGGCTTCCGGTGGAGGATGGGTTACTTGAGAATATATTTATATTGTTGGTCTGGGTTAAAATTTCCAGATATTACCATTCCAAGCTATAGATATGGCAGTGTAGCTTTTGCTGGTGGTGAATTAGGGTGTTCTAATGCTTCAGATTTGGACTGGAAATTGGCTCAGCATCTAGTATTAATGACATTTCTTAATGTGCTTCATTTTCCTCCTTTTAAAATAACTGGATGACTTTTGCATCACGAGTCCACATGTGTGTTAACTAACATTCTGCTTGCCATTAGAGAATGAATGTCAATGCGAAAGCACCAGGTAGCTGAGATTTTTTTGTTCTGTGCCTTACGAATGCTTCTGTAGGTAGAGTGAGGAGCCCCTGCGTTAGCAAGCCATTAAGAGGCCCTGTGCTGGTTCTGTAGGCTAGTTGGATGTGCAGACTGCACCAAAGACTGGTCACAAGTGTGGAGGAAAGCCCATGGGTAAATGGTGAGAGCTGCACAGGATCATCCTGAGCCCTTCCTTGGGCAGAAATTATTTCATGTAGTACCCATAATTGGCAGCAGAAATTGCTGCGTAGTCTAATCTTTTGGAATTTTCAAATTGATAAGCTCCTTTCCTTTCGGAAGGAGCACGTGATGAGAGGCTCACAGCAGACAGCTTGGCTCTAGCTGATGGTGAAGGTGCTCACTGGAGATGTGGGCTCAGCCCTTGCTTAGGCTGCGGTACCTCTGGCCGGTGGTCACTGCTGTTCATCTCGTGGTTTGTGTGTGCGGAGGGATAGCTGTAGGAAAGGTGGCTTGAAGTAGCAGGTGACTCTAAGAAATCTTCAAGCTTTACGTGCAGCAACATACTGCTGAAGTAGAACAATAGTTGGAGGAATTACACAGCCGAAATGAAAGGAGACGCGCCGAGTTGCAGGGCGAGGTGTGGGAATGTTGCTGTGATGGGGCAGGGTTGTGGGTGTGTTCTAGGGGCCGAACCATCTCCGCTCCTGGCACCGCCTCATACCAGGCAGCAGGAGGAAGGGTAAGTGTGCCAAAGTGGGTGGGGTGGATGGCATTTTTGTGTTATAGCTTGTGTTCTGTTTTTGAAGAAGAGGAGTAAGAAAGTAATCTATGTAAATTGTTTTCTGAAGCTGAAGAAAGAAAATTAGCACAAGAATCTTGATGGGCTCTATGCTGATTTATGAACATTAGGGTAGTGGTCAGTCTTGAATCATACGTAAGTGTGCATATTTACGTGTATAAATATTTATATGTTTAGTCGAAGGGGCTCCTGGATATGAGGCTCCAAGAAAGGCATAGATCTAATAAATGTAACTGCTTGAACATCTGACTCTGTGCTGCTTTGTTGTTGTTATCCCCCCAAGATGTAAATAATTAATCAGGAGGTCACGGAAGGCTTTCTGGCATGCTTCCCCACATAGGAAGTCAGTACAGGCGAGCTCTCATGTGAGGTGGTGCCAGCGCATGTCCTAAGCTGAAAGGACAATGATAATAGGTGATACTTGCTCCCGTGCCTGCTTCCGTACCACCAGTACCCACCCAGATGGTGGGAGTCGGAGCAGTGATGGGCCTGGTGTGTTTTACCACCCATGTGCCATGACCTTTGAATGTTCTGGTTTACAGTGGCAGAGCCTAAAGCCGGTCCGCTTGGCTCCTACCGTAGAGACACGTTTGGTACTGAGACAAATGCTTTGGTACATTCAGAGATTTATTTTTAATTCATGCAGAAGAGCAAGTCAGAAGTTGTCAGCTCGGCTTTTGAGTAACAAATTGTTAATTCTCGAGGGGCTACCAGGTAAAACGGAGAGAAGGGGTTTTTTCTGTGTCTTTTTTTCTTAGAAGCTTGGGGTAAGATATATTAAAACCTCTTTTTCCATGAAATACTGAGCAGTAGTGTTTCAAGACACGTAAAAGCTGCAGCATTAGGGCTCATTGTAGAGAACATTTTATGTAGGAGTACCTTCTGTGCGCTCTGCTGGCAAGACTTTAAATGTCTCGTCAAGGACTGACACTTGGAGACCACAATTTAAGTTGATATTAGTGCCTGAAGTGAAAAGCGAATGATCTCCTCCCACTCCTTAATCTGCAGGATAAGGTTCTTACTTGCCAGTTCACACAGCAGATGAGCCTGTGCTTTCAGTTCAAAGCAAGAGCACTGTGCTTGTCTCCTAACTTCATTTTCAGCTCTTGCTTTAAGGGCATAGCACAAAGCTTGGCCTTGCCGTTTTGTAAAGTCAATCTTTACCAGCATACTCATTTGCACGTACTTTTCCTCCTTTGGATTCGTATTTCTTTGGAATAAAACATGTTACCAGTACTTTTCTGTTGTGGGTTTCTTTTTTTTCCACATCAGTTCCTTGAGCATGTAGTAAATTTAATAAAGGCACTAAAACCAAGTTCATGTGGGCAAGAGACATGCAGACACTCCTGATCTGCTCGCCCATCCTGTGGACTGTGTCTTAGGCCGCTTCTTCCCTTGCTAGCATTTGGTGCCCGCAAGTCTGATTGGAGCCAGCGGGTCCCATGGCACAGCTGGCATTCGGGATTGCTTGAAGCTGCTTAAAATCCCATGCAGTGTGGGGAAAAAATAGAGAAAATCAGAATTCTCATGGCTTGAATGGGAAGGGAGAAACTTGATTGTGAAACTTGATGCTTATGTATACAGTGAGGAAATTGAGGAGGTTTGTGTTGGTTAATCTGTATCTTTCTTATACAACCGGTGTGAAGATGGACAGAAAGTTTGGAGAGGGACAATGTTGAAGGTGGTTTTAGTAGACTCTGGATTTCTACCTGCTGCTGCCATCAAACTGTGTCTCACTGGCTTGATCTGTCCTGTTCAAAAGTTATTTCTATGAGAAACTTCACTTTTGTGGGAAACCTCATATGGTGAGGAAGCCAGCGAGGCAGTCTGCAACTAATACTGTGGACAAACCCACATTTTTTGTCCTACCGTAATACAGGGAAGTGCTGTTTAAGGCATCTGACTGTTTAGATGGCTGTGGGCTCC